GCCGGCTTATAGAGCGTGGCGTTCGGCTCTTTCAGGCGTTGGACACACAGTTCCAGTTCCTCCTGAAGTTGTTTGTCCTCTTCCGACAGATCCATCTCTTTGTCCTTCTCTTCCACACCATTCTTAGCAGCGGTGCTCTTCTTCTGCTTCTCCTTCGACTCCTTCTCGACGTTTGTCTCACTCTTTGTTGTTTTGTCTTTCATTTTGGACACAAAACTGACGACCGGTTAGTGATAATCAAATCAAGTGATCAATGGATCCAATGAATAGTCTTTGGGTTTTAAATGATTTGAACGAAAAGTCAAACACTTTTATCGTTTAGTATTGAATACAATAAGTGCTGATTCACTGAACACTCAATCCATACAACATTTGTGTGCATTGAATGCAATGCAAAATGCAATTCACGGCTTATTTGGACCGATAGTTAAGTACTTTATTATAGGAATACGCTATGCATTCACTACCAGTAAAAGGTTATGAAACGCTGTGACGGACACAACAATAACGTCCACGTATTTAAAGCGCCTAAATTGAACGCTCAATACGACCGCAACCCATGAGACCACACATCCGGACATTGATTTATAATCATTCAAAGATTAAATTAAATTTTTGCACACAATTACTACTCTATCGATAGAAATATGATTTTAAAATACAGTCAAAACTAAAGCAAAAGCAATTGATTAAAGGATTGGTTAAATATGGTTAAAGTTAAGGGTCGGAGAGAGGAATAGAGCGGACACAAGTGTGCGAAAGAGTTTCTGTGTCTAAGTTTTGTGAGATATTTAGTTTAATAAAAGCTGTTTTAGTGCTAATCAAACACTTGATAATTGTTTCATTTTTAACAAGTTTGTCGTCTCTGTCTCTGTCTCTCTGTTACGGCTCTCTCGCGCACAACAAAGCTTAGCCTCGATTGTCGCGCATCTCGTGATTCAAACCGTGATTTGTATTGTTTGTGGAAATTGTTATGAAATTTACTGATTGTTCGAAAACTCTTCTCAAGAGCTCTTTGTTTCCACACTTTGGAAACCGATTAAGTTTTTCGCATTCAATTCAATGAACAAATACTTTATAACAAAATAAAAGTTTTTGTCGAAAAACTTTGAACTAATAGTAATTAATAGCAATAAGAAGTGATCAAAACCTTTATTCAATTTAATAGTGAAAAACCGTTAATAAGCGCCCAAAAGGATGACTTCGGGACCGAATTACTCGATGGCATCGCTATATGTCGGCGATTTGTCGGCTAATGTGACCGAAGCCATGCTCTTCGAGAAGTTTTCGACAATAGGTCCGGTGCTGTCGATCCGGGTTTGTCGAGATCTGCTGACCCGTCGCTCTCTGGGTTACGCTTACGTCAACTTTCAAGAGGTCTCCGACGCGGAGAAAGCCATCGATCGGATGAACTTCGATGTACTGAAGGACAGGCCGTTGCGGATAATGTGGTCACAACGCGACCCATCGCTCAGGAAGTCAGGCGTCGGGAATGTCTTCATCAAGAATTTGGACAAATCTATCGATAATAGCGTTATGTTTGACACGTTCTCGACGTTCGGCAAAATCCTGTCGTGTAAAGTGGCCCAAGACTTGCACGGACTCAGCAAAGGGTACGGCTTTGTCCACTTCGCCACCGAAGAAGCGGCTAATAATGCCATCAATAAAGTGAATGGAATGCTATTAAACGGCAAAAAAGTATTTGTCGGCAAATTTGTGCCGAAGTCTGAGCGCCAGAACTCGCCGTTCGCTGAGAAGAGCAAACACTTCACTAATGTTTACGTCAAATAC